GCGTCGCCTGAAGGGTTTCTGGAACTTTCTCCAATTTCCAGATGACCCAATTTCAGTTGAACTTGGGTGTTTGAACCTCTTTTTTTATAAGCCCCCCCCAAAAAAAAAAAAATGAAAACACACTTCAACTTAATTGGTCTGAAAACGCTTTCTAACTCAGTTATCAACACTCTTTAATTCCCGCGGTGATTTAAGCGCCAGGTTTGGATCTCATTCGCTGCTGCGCGAGCCCCGTTTCAGGGGAGAGAAACCTTTTGATGACGGCTCCCTTTTTTGGAGGAGGTTTGGCGCGCGCCGCGAAAGGTGACGTCACCGCCAGTCCCACCCTGGCCTCGGAAGTGTCTGGATTTTCTTCACCTTCCCCGCGACGTCGAGTCACCTTTTGGTTGAAACGGAGCGTCGCCGTTGTCGTCGGCGCCGTCCGCCCTCATTCACCTTTCCTGTTCGGAGCATCTGGAGCACATTAAAGCCGAGGTGGGTGGAGGAGAGCTGGGGAGGGGGTATTTAGTCTCCCACCTGAACGTACTGTACCAGGCCTGCGAGCTGCAGCTCGGCATTCCTGTGAAGCGCCTCCCAAGAATCGGCTCGGCAGGAGAGCTTGACTCATTCAAGGACATTTTTAATAAAACGTTACTGGACTGAAGGACTTCAGTCTGTTGAAAAAAATAAAATAACATTAAAACGCTGAAAGTTTTTAGCCTGGTACATGTGCCTTGCTAGAATTTTGCCCTTTCCCCCCCAAACACTCAAAAAAGATGCAGAAAGTGAAAAGTGCCATTATTCCAAAGTTGTTTACTATCCTGAAGTATATTTTGAGTGTGTAATTCATCCTGCCATCGATCCTTTTCCACACGCGTTGCTACGCTTTGTAGTTTTTCACATTGCCGTCCATTGCGACAGCAGTCTTTTTGGATTTTAATGAGATTTTATGACGTTAACTATAAGTAATGACATGGATGTAATAGTTTTCTTTCTGACAGCCTTTAGCTGCATGGATGAAACGTCGTTTCGGCAGCTTGCGTGCCAGCTTTGTACTTCTAGACTGCAGCGTTTGCCACCTGGTTCTAGTGAACAACCTTTCAGTTGAACTTGGGTCTGAACTTTAACCGGGCGATTGTTTTTTTTAGCCAAACTACACACAGCTGGACTCTATTTAGTAAATTAGGTAACTTCTGAGGGCGGTCGGACACATTATTTCACTGTCGAGAAGGAAAATGAAACGGGATGGGACAAAAATGCACTTTTTGATTTGTCATGCAGAAAACATTGAATTTGTGGTACGGGAAGTGACAAAAGAAGCACGACAAGTCACCGTTTTAGGAGGCAGACATGGAGCTCATATGAATAAAGTTCTCTCTGGGATATTTATGGCTATTGTGATCTAATAATCTATCGATTTGTCTAGGCCTGGAGCCACAGAGTCCTGTAAATCAATGTGTGTCAAAACAAATAACAGAAAAAATAAAAACACAACACCGGCCTCTCCTAACACACCTCTCTCCCCGCCGGCCCTCGGGAGGCAGGACGGTCACATGCTTCCTCAAGCGTCGTCTTTTGTTACCACATCTGCGTCTCAGCATGCAAACTCCCACAAACAAAACGGCTCTCGTCCACCAAACAGTGTCCCGTTGTCACAGATCTGATTTGCAGTGTGGAAACAAAAGCAAACAGCAACAAAACTGGCCCACTAGATTTGACACGCCGAGTCGCTTTCTCAATCCCTTCAGAAAGTGGTCCTGGTTGGTCACTTGTCTCAAGTGCCAATGAAACGCGTTGACGTTTGTGGCTGCGCTGTGACAAGATGTACAGAAATTTGTCAACTGGACAAGTCAGGCAAGAACTAAATTGACACCAGAAGTGGCTGGAGTAGCCAAAGATTGGACTCAAGTAGGAATAGCAGTACCCAAATGTAGCCGTTTCAGAAATGACTCAAGCAAGGATAAAGTATTCAGTAAAACAACTAAAATATCAAAACGTGAATTATTTAATAATTAAAAATTACACCGTCAGACTGACCAAAATATACATTTGTGTGGATATTTTATCCTCGAAATAATTTAGTTATTTTAAGGATAATTAAACTTTAATCTATGGGGACATCAGAAGAAATTCAATCCCCAACTCTGGCTGACATTTCTGATTATATTAAAACTTAAACGTCAAACTGAAAACCACCATCTGTTACCTCAAAACCGCCAAAGAGGCATGCGGCTCCCGCAGCCATAAGTCAGCCTTCAGACGGATTCTGGCTTTTTGTTGGCACACATTCGTACTTGGTGTTTGGTGTCCTTCTTTGTGGAATGTTTTTTTTTTTTTTTTTCCCGCAATGCCCTCTTTATATTTTCCTCAGAGAGGAGCAGATACAATTACAAAACCAGAGAGCAAAATTGAACTGCACCACCAAAGCCAGTGGTCTGGTGGAAAATCTCTTTGCTCACATGGACGAAATACAGCGACATCAGCCACTTTGTTCCTTGTCTCCTTTTTTGAAGGAAAAACAAATATCTTTAAAAACAAAAAAAGACAGGATATAGTTACAATTTTGGAAGGCACCAGCACTTAAATTTCCCTTTTTAAATTGAGAAATTAATAAGTCACTTTTTGTGTTTTCTCAATGAAGACTCATTAAGTCTTCATTAAACTGTTGCACCAACAGTACTTCAGTTTAACTCGGTGTTTTCAGAGGAATGTAACAAACATTTTTGGACTAAAACGAGGCTTCATCCACCTGGTCCGGTTTAGGGCTGGATTCTTTTGAGGAGTTTGGAGGAGGCGGGAACAAACAACCAAACAGAACTCTGCTCAGCGCAGGGCATTCTGGGTAAACGCACCCCAAACAAACAGAACGTAGCATGAATGGGACCGATAATACGGCGACGGTGTATTAGGGCCATTTTAGATAGATAACAAATTTCTGTTAAAAAACATCATTCTGGATTAATCAAAATAAATAAATAAATAAAAAATTCTGAGTTTGGAAAGTCAAAACATTTGCCAGAAAAAACTCTGGATTTTTGAGAGTCACAGAAATGTTATAGAAAAAAAAGAAAATATCTGAGTTTTTGTTTAGCAGAAATTGGCAACTTTTTTCTATGTACTGTGATCCCTGCACACAGTCGTACAAAGACAAAAGAGATCTCCAAAACCTGTTCTTTTTTTACATTTTGTGAAGAAGAAAGTCGCGCTCGAGACGTATGCGGAGGTTGTGTTTGGGTTGTGCTGTGTGACAGTGAAGCTGAAAATGTAACCAGTTTCACAATTTTGATCCCCAGTGACCTCAGTCGTTCAACCTCTTGTCTTATTTGACCAAAACCTTTTTCCCCAAGTTTCCCCATGTTCAAAAGTTCAATGAACCTCGAAGGTGTGAATGTTGGAGCCGACGGTCAATGCGTTCAGCGAGTCCATTTTGATGCTGACCGGCTAACTGGCCGTGGATACTGGTCTTCTAACCTGTTCCAGTTTACAATTGCCTGAACCATTGTTGGTTTTCAAACATCCTAGGACATTTTCTTTCATCTAAAGCTTGACTCAGACAGTTGAAGGTCGAACATAACTAGGGAGTTCTAACAACAAAACCTCTGGAAGAGCCCCAGGCCTCAATCTGTTTTAAAGTTTATAGACTATGCATAAATGTTTGGTCGGTACCAGGAAACCAAGCAATTAAAATGTGCTTTGCCATCTGTGCCGAGAACAGAGGTCAAAATACCCAACCATAATTAAACCAGGAGGCAGCATGTTGCTATATTTAAGCGTTTGCTTCAACTGCGCTACTAAAAACCAAAGGTTAATAATATCACTTGGTGATGATTTTATTACGGTTATGACAAACACCCTCCATCTAAAGCTGACAGGTTATGCGGTTGGAAGTTGGAAATGGAGCTCATGTGGAGCAGACACTGCATGTAAATATGCTACAACTCTTTCTTTAAACTTGAAAACAACCAGCTGTTTGGGCTGAAAGAAGATTTCTCATCGAAAATTCAGTGAAGACACAGATTCCTCCCGTTGTATAACAATATTGTTAGGCAAAAGACGAGTTTAGCCATTTTAAGGTCAGTTTAAGTATGTTGTATTCCAACTGGGATCATCAAATTGGAACGTCTTTGATTTGAATCGGCCCATGTGGCCGTATTATACTGGTTCGACATGTTTATATACGCTTCTAAAAGTTTTGGGTCGACCATCAAATGATCAGATCACGTTCATGGCCACAGGTGTATAAAATCCAGTACAGCTTGAGTCGAGACCAGTGTCCTCTACATTTACGATTCATGTGCTTTGGCAATCTATTAAGTGAGTTTGGACGAGCAGCTCCCAGGCGGAAATCACTTACCTGATGGCATTGTGTCAACCGTACAGATTGTTGCTGGGGGCGGTGCGACGTTGTCTTTCAGGAGTTAGTTCCAGTGAAAGGAACTATCATTGCTTTGCCTTACCAAGACATTTTGGATCATTTCATATCCCCAATTTTGGCTCCGTTCCTGTTTCGACATGAAGGCCAATCATGAATTGGAGACATGAGAGTGGTGTGGAAGAACCTGACTGGCACGTTCAGAGAAGTGACTAAAAGATGTCCAACATCATTGTCTGACCTCAGAAATGCTCCCAAGTAAGACTGCTGAAACATTCATAAAGTGCACATTCCTACATAAACGTTGTGGGACGTTTTCCCAGAACTGAGCCGCTAAGGCCGATAAATCAAGAGAAAACAAATAATTTTGTTTCTGCTCTCCTTTTCAGATTTCACACAATGAGCAGCAAACATAAACTAGTTCATTTCAAAGTGTTAGATAAGCCATGAAACACTTACGTTGTGACTTGAACCGTGGAACCATGCCTGCATGGCATTAAATATTACAGCTGAATAAATATTTTGGTAATTGGGGGGCTTGAAGAAGTTCAGAGAATCATTATTTTTGTAATAGAGCAAAAGTCCCGCAGGTCTTTCAGATGTGTATAATCATGACATAATGGAAGCTTAAGATAAAAAACACACAAACTATAGTAATATCTCTTTATTGTACAAACATGAGAGCACTACCATTTCTTTCATCCAGCACATAAGACAGTGTGTCCCTTTCACTCTCTACACTGTTTCCATGACGTAATTTCAAATTGCTGCTACATATAAAGTTATACATTTGTTTTTCTCCCCTGTGTAGCAGGGAGTTAAGCACAGCTTTTGACTCATCTTAAGACTTCAGCCTCACAACGTAAAACAAACCCATGACTACGACCATGAAAAAGACATGTGCAAACTTGTCCAGACACACTAAGCTCATACCAACAATTCCCCCCTGGGGTACACAAGAAGAAAATGCTAAACTCACAAAATATTATGAAAAAGCAAAGTTTCCCCAAAGGCACAAACTGAAAGAAAGCTACTGAAAATCGACTGCAGTCGTCCCAAAGCGAGTCGAGGCCTTAGTGACATGAAAGTTGAAGCAGCCAAGACCTGAGCAGGATGCGCTCTCAGCAAAGTCAAGCTAACATTCCTCGATACTGAGCAGAAAAAGAAAATCCAGATCATTCAACGGCCGGTGTAAAAAATATATATGTGTGCCATTATGTTTGATTCTTTTCATCTTTTTGGTTTAAATATAAAGCCTGAATTGATCCTGGAAAAGAGTTACCATGACTAGCTTAGAACATATTGGCTACGAAAAATATGTCATTTTTTAAATTAACCTAAAAGTTGTTTGCAAAATAAAAAAAATCATAATCACTTCAAAAACGTCTTTATTACATTGTGCACATGCGGGGGCGGCCATTTTTAACATGCGGTATGCCTGGCAGAGGAGCTGGAGCTAACACTGTTAGCTGGAGCTAAAAAACCAGCGCAAACTCTAGCTTTTTCAGCCGAATCTCTCCTCATCCTCGTTTCTTCTTGTCTTTTCTCCATTGCCTTCTGTTTAATCGCGCTTCACTTCAAGCTGAAACAGAACGCAACGTCATTTATAGCACAAAATGACTGTCGGAGCTGGCGCCATCTACTCAGAATGCGTTGCGGAGTGAAGATTTCTCATCGAAAATTCAGTGAAGACACAGATTCCTCCCGTCGTATAATAATATTGTTAGGCAAAAGACGAGTTTAGCCATTTTAAGGTAAGTTTAAAATGGCTAAACTCAATGCGACGTCCGCATGTCAATATTTAATTTAAATTTGTAAGAACTAAGCAGATTTTAAAAAAAGCTACTGTATTGTTTTTCTCTGTGAAATAAAAGTCTATCGGTACAACTATTCACGGATCGCTTTAAGAGAAGAAAAGCACAGGGCCTTCTTTATGGCTTTATTTATGTGTATCCCTATCTAACCTGTACTTTTCATTTTCATTGTCATAAACAACAAATTATATAAAATATACTGACTTTGCCTATTTGAAGTGTATTTTAGATATAAAAAAGTAGGTCTTTTTAAAAACGTTTCTTTGAATCCATCAGAGTGAATTAATGGCTGGCTTTGTGCATCGCTTCAGTAACTACCGGGTTTTCTTTTCCGCCTATACAGCACCCTGATATATGAAAAAAAGGGAGTCAAAATGTGTTCTTTTCTTCTTGACGTTTTGGCATGTGGAGTGAGTCTGGAGTGTTCAAAGGCCGTCGTACATGCGCAGGGTGCGCTCCAGTTGCTGGACGACACGCTGGTAAAAGGCTATCTGCTCCCTGAGGTAGGCTTGCATCATGTCTTTGAAGTCCACCTCTCGTTGCTGATGGAAGTGGCTCATTTCTGCCTGGAGGGCGAAGCCCACAGTCCGGCAGCGTTTCCTGATCCCGTCTGCTTCGTCTTGGTCCATCTTCCCCTCGTCGCTCATCCGCTGGCTCTCCTTCACCTTGGCGAAGGCGCCTGCATGGAGACACGGGAAACGCAGCGTTACACTTTCACGTCAGTTCAGTAGAATTAAGATGATTTTACTTCACAGCATTTTTCTAAGGATGTTCTTTTTTAAAGAACTGTGGCTTCAGCTACAAAAGCTAACGACACGCAGCAAAGCATTTGCTCCTGGTGTTGTCAAGTAAACAGATTTAACAACTTAGGGTTGATGAAGTCCCCTGACGATGTTCAACTCGCCTTGCTTCCAAGACAAGTTTGGAAGCAAGACAAGTCGCCCCTAAACTAATCCAGTGTAGCATATCAGTTCTGGAGTCCAGACCCTCTGGACCACATGTGTCAAACTCAAAGCCCGGGTCCAAATCTGGCCTGCCATAGCTTTTAATGTGGCCCTCTAGACTCCAAATTATGTCAATAAGTCCCTCCAGTTTTTCACAAATCTGCAAAATTCAAATTTTTTTCAGATTTTACTGCAAATTTTTGTCAAAATTGGCCAAAAAAAAGGGACAATTTTCTCAAAAATTGGTCAGGTGGCCAATTTTTTTTTTTGAATGCTGCCTCAGCCTTATTAGATGTTGATAAAAAGTCACATTTAATATCACACATTAGCGCAAATGTCGTAAAAATTTCCTCACAAACATTTCTAAATTAGCGGCACAAAATGTGTGCAAAACAAACAACAACAAAAAACCCCACAGAGACAATCACAAAATCCTCTCTGGGTTGATCAGTTTCACTTTGAGAAACAATTATCGAACGCTGAAACAAACAGCTTCTTATTGATATCATATCTGGCCCCAGGTGAAAATGAGTTCGACGCCCCTGCTCTAAACGAAGCGAAGCGTAGAACAATGAGCCAACTTTGTACTGCAGCTGAAAATGTATAAACCAATCAATAAACGCCTACGTGGGGCCGTAACCCTCCACACTTCTGTAGGTAGAACGCCAAGCACACCGTCTCGTCCTGTTTTACTGCATACCAACCATCTTGCTTCAGTGGAATGAGGACAAGTTCAAACCACATCCGCCCACACTGCCATGAAGTCACTTTCCTTGAGCAGAACATGGCAGCCCAGTGGCACGTCGCCATGAAGCTTTACAGATTAGTGAGTCTGTCCTAGTTGCGCATTTGGAAACACACTTTCGAATTTAGATTCGCTCAATCGGGCTCTGTGGAGGTAAGCAGAGGCGGTCTAGTCTGGATGAACTGGGGGACGGGGGGCAGAGAGGGGGGCCGTCTTAAAACGATCCCGTCGCTCTCGCATCCGTAAGCTGAATCTGTGAAGTCATGCAACGCTACATTTTGTGTGGAATGCCTGGCACAAGGGTGGGAAAGCATGAACAGCACTCGCAGCCTTTCCAGTAGAGGAGGAGGAGATATGTGTGTGTGTGTGTGTGTGTGTGTGTGTGTGTGGACTGTGCAGTCTGTGGCGCTGACCTACATTTGTGTGTTCTGCCTTTCACATGAGACGAGAATGAGTTTTAACAGAGAGCACGTCTGGGAAACATAAAGAAAAAGCACTCCTGACTGGAAAGAAGAAAGAGAGAGAAAGAGAGAGAGAATGATGCGAGGAGGAAGATGACCTGATGTGGTATCCAACTGAAGCTAAACGTCGTCTGAGGAAGACAGTTTCTGCTTGATGGTAAAACGTCGGCGTCCTTTCAGCAAAACTCGAGTTAAAATCTCACAAGCTTTGACTTCAACCAGCAAAACAAACTTTGTTATTTTTTCCCGGAGAATAGAAAGCAAATTCTGGCTAATCAGAGTTTCAATCCGGATCCAGCAACCGCAACCTGAAAGGGTCTAACATCTGGAGTCTTCAAATCCAGGCCTTGTGGGCCGGAGTCCTGCAACCCTTCAACTTGTTCCTGGTCCAGCACTCCTGGAACAGATTGCTGAATTATCTCCTCAGTATGCAGTGCAGTTCTCTTGAGTCCTGCTATTCAGATCATTATTTGTCTCAGGTGTGCTGAAGCAGAGACGCGTCTAAAAGTTGACCACTATCGATGCTGTGGATCTCCTATAGTCAGAAAATACACAAATCAATTCCTAATTAATTAGCTGAGGCTTGACAAACAAACCTGCTAAACAATCTCAGCTAGCAAATTAGCAAACAATTCTTAATTAATTAGCTAATCTGTTCCCAATTAATTAAGGATGAATTTTAGCAAATCTGCTCTAGTTTTATGTCTCTGGTCTGTTTTGGTGACAGTGATTGAAGAGAACATTTTTTTTTCCTTTATTCATTTTAAGAATTTTTTGGCTCTAGTGGCCTTTATGTGGTATCAATCTGACAGGATTGCTGCCATGATCTGTTATCTGTTATCCAAGTTGCGGGAAAAACAAAGTTTATCGATGCGATTGTCAGCATGATTCTATAGTCTGTTCCAGATCATCAACAAGCACTGAAACCTTCACATTGTAAGGCAATCTCAAAGCAAATCTGTGTAGCAGGAACGAAAAATGTGCAAAACTGCTGCTAATGATCAATGACTGAACGTTTGAGACGTCATCAGGGGTCTCGCTATAGAAGCCAGCAGTAAAAACGCCTGACAGTGCTGATCCAGCCTCCATATTCTTACAGCTAATGTTGCGACCTGAGCAGAACCGAACTGAGAAATCTTGGATAACTAAGAAAGACGTCCCAGTATGTCAGAGGAGCTGAGGGGAGGAAAATAGTTGGGATTATGTAGGATTACAGTCCTGTGGCTGACCGACTTCCAAGATTCCCACAGTCCTCTCTGGGCCAGAGGTCACAGCAGAGCAGCTACAGGAAGCGCTCTGAAAACCAATGCGTCTTTTCATCCTTTTGTCCCATAAACAAAATCTAGCAGTGAAATGTCCCTTTAAATTCCACTTATGTGTTTACAATCCAGACTGAGGTTACGGTCCACTTGTACCTGAGCGTTGGTGCTGACAGCCTTTTCCCCACCGATTCCCCCGGTGGCTGATTTCCAGCTGAGTCGTTATTTTTCTCCTCAGACAGCAGATTCCTCACAAATCCACTTTCAGGTCAATTGTGTCTATTTTAGCTCTATTTCATTTGGTTTCCTGTCCCAGTTTATAAAAATCACTCCTTCCTGTTGAGTATTTTTAAAATCTTAACAGCCAGAAAAAACCAAAAAAAAAAACCAAACAGCTCCTCTCTAGACAAGAATGAGCTGTGACTACAGCGCCTTGCAAAAGTATTTATATGCCTTAAACATTTTCACGCTTTGTCACACGATGACGTCGGTGTGTTTTGTGAAGCTTTTATGTGGCATACCAACACGATTCAGCGCATAAAGTAGTGGCTTTTAGGTTTTCTTAAAAAAAAATAATAATAAAATTTTTAAATTAAATGAGGTGTGTGGACTAAATTGAGCCCAATAAAGATTTTGAGAAGTTAAAGTTGGCGAGCGCAGAAAAACAAAGCTACAGCTCCGGCGGATAATCACCAAGCTGCTGCTGCCATTTTCAAATCACATTTTGAAATTGCGCAACGCTTTTAGTTCCCAGAAGCCGAGGGGAGAAAAATACCTTAAGAATGACGACATGGTTATGATCTCTTAAGATAATATTTAGTAGTGCATGAACCAGTTGACTGAAACAGACTTTGGATACGGAATATTTTCCACATTGGTAATATTTAAGTACAAAAAAGAAAAGCAACAACAAAAGCGTAGACCATTTGAGGGGTTGGAGGGGATAAAAAGCCATTTGGATTTTGCACAACCAGAGTGACTCATGAGCGTATATAAAATAAACCAATCCGGGAATAGGCCTCGTACACTTCAAACATCGAAAAGGCCTAACGTGACTGAGTAAGATTAGTGACTGTTATTCTCATTGCACACACAAGTAAACATTTGAAAGGGAGTACAAATGAGGCTTGCTGCCACAAAAAAACACTCCCGACCAGTAAAAGCAAAGGGCTCCGAGTGCGTCCATGTCGAGCGCTGCTGGGAACTGATAACATGTCGTTCTTTGTCATTTCGCAAGTAAGGCAAATAAAGCGAGACAAAATGGAAAGGCACATGCGTATGTCAGAACGAGACGGTCTGCCTTTAGAGATCGTGGGGTTTTCTCTGACCGTGATCGCACGCTAATCCGCAGGGTTTGCATGCGTTTTCCCCGCTCCCGATTCAAAACAATGGATTTCCTCAGCAGCTTGCAGACGCCTGTTATTTACCCACCAAACTGAGCCAGGTGTTGTGTTCATTCAGGGAAACATCTAAAACGTGCCTGGTAGATCTGTACGTCACCGCTGACTGGGGAGTTAATGTCATGACACATAATAATAATAATAAATCACAAACAATAGCTAATTCAGTATTATTTACATTACATTCCTGTGAAATAAACACAGAAGATTTTTCTTAATGGGATTTAGAAATCATAACTCTATTTCCTGATACTAAAGTTTTCTCATAAACTTTGAGGCCTTGGAGCATTCACCTGGCCATAATGCAACTGGGGTGTTGTTGTTCAGAAGTGATCGACAGTGTGTTAACGTGCTAAAAAAAATCAAATTAGATCAAAGTTTTGTTGCATGTTGAATACGATAAAGAATTCCCCTTCCGTTACACTTTTTGTTCAAATTAGCATGAAATTGAGGGAAAAAAGGATGTAAAATGTATTATCCATAATCCCCTGCTGTTAGCTATGTATAAGGGGAAATATTTGAAATGCAAGTTTGTTCTACAAAGAAAGAGGAAATTCTATACATGTCTAAATAACAGCTAATTATTATGGGCAAACATGACCAGAAACTGTCTTGTTGACAAGGTAGCTATTGAGACAATGACAATCAGCAGATTCGCAGCCATAAGACAGAGCAAGCTGCAGTTTAATATTTTCAAAAAGGTGTTTGTTCAAAAAGCTATTTAGCTTTGTTTTGCATCAGAAGAATGTACTTTCCTCTCGATTGTTAGTCTGAGGTTTATGTCAGCCACACTCCAAACATTCCCAGCGTTCACACGAACCCCGATAAGTTGCTTCAAAATAAGCCTTTGGTTAAACGCTCGCAGTTTGC